GGCGGGAACTGAGGCTGCTGGGAACCTCCCCTCATTGAGTGCCTTCCCCATCCAACGGCCAGCTGCACACGACCGAGGACCGAGGGGAGGCATCGTCTTACGCAGGAACGGTGGGTGTTGTTCTTCAAAGACGCATCGCCAGGCCTAAGATTGGACTGGCCAACTGTCCCCAGATGGAAACGAGATGACAGCCTTCTCAGGGTAGAAAAAAAGCGAGCTGGGGTGACTGTGAGCGTGCTGTACAAGACCGGTTGCCAAGATTTCTAGCGAACCCGTGAAACAACCCCGAGGGTTTCCATGGCCGTGGTCTTGGTTTTAGAAATCATGTCACTGGGGACTCTGACAGCTCTGATAACAGTCCATCAATCGATTGTATCCAGCATATGTGTGCATGTTGCCATCATCATTTCCAAAACATTTTCTTTTTTCTTGAGACCTTGGTATCAGATCCTCTTTTTTTTTAACCCCTCCCTCTACCACCCTCGTGAATCCTCGATTAATGATATAGTACTGTTATTATTTCGTATCTTATAGTCCATTGTCTCCCTTCACCCACATTTCTGTTATTCATCCCCTTCGGGGTGGAGCTATATATCCAACCTTGTGATGGGCACCCCCTTTCTCCCACTTCCCTCACATCCCCCTCCCCTCATGATATCCAGACTCCCACTACTGTTCCTGAGGGGGTTATCTGTCCTGAATTCCACGTGTCCAGAGCTCGTCTCTGTACCGACGAGTGTACTCCAGTCTAGCCGGACTCATAAGGTAGAACTCAAGACTTTGGTCTTCACAGGAGCAGATCACCAGGTCTTTCGTCCCCTGAGGAGCTGCTGGGCGGGTGGGTTAAAGTAACCAACTTTTCAGCTGGCGTCCAGGTGCTTGACCCTTGTGTCCTCAGGGATCCTTGGTGTTAAGAAGGACAGGGAGGAATACTATTTGCTCCCCGAACCATCAGAAACACAGGTGGCTACCCAGGTGTCCCTCCACACCACGGCCCCGCAAACCTGGCAAGACCCCTGTGCCGACCAGCCAGGGGGCTCAGGGGACATCATGCTGGCCTGCGGGACTCAAGAAGAGCTGCCCTCCCTGAGACTACTGATACACCGTATTTAGTTAAATGACACTCATGTGAACAAGGACCCACGATTCTCAAATGTTCTGAAGTCATCCTGGAGCTGGAGCTCCCGAGGCCCCTAGGAACGGTCAGCTTAGACTGGGCCTCCCCAGCATTGTCTAAACCCAAGGACAGATATCAATGTTCTCTCATCCTTGGGGTAGAATATAGATGTGAGCGAGTCCCTCTCAAATTAAGGATAATGCAAGAGAATAGGAATATTTTTTCCCCCACCAGATATTTAAGGAGCCCTGTTGGCACAATAGTTAAAGGCTCTGCTGCTACACAGCAAAGGTGGGTGGGCAGTCAGGACCCTGGTGGCAACCTCGTTATACGATGGGCTGCAAACTGCAGGGTCCGTAGCTGGAAGCCACCGGCCACTTCTCAGGAGAAAGGGGAGTCTGTCTACTCCCATCAGCCTTGGAAACCCACAGGGGCAGTCCGACCCTGCCCTATGGGGTTGTGAACCGTCAGTCAACCCCATGGCAGTGGGTTTGCCACTGAGAATCTAGTGCCATCCCAAATCTGGGTGGTGGCGAGTGAAGATTTTGCAGAGTACTGGCAAAGCCAGAGGAAGGACCGCTTCGGAAACCTCAGCAGTGATGCTCTTACGCACAGGAGTGTGACGAATCCCTGGTGCCCTAGCATCATCCACAACACTTGTCATTGTCCAAAGGGACAATCCCCCCCCCCCTCCTACCCCCAGATCTACTGCCATCAGGTTGATCCTAACTCACAGTCATCCTATAGGACTGCTCCTTAGGGCTTCAGAGGCCATAGGTCTTCTGGGAAGCAGATTGCCCCTGTCTTTCTCCGAAAGTGTGACTGGTAGACTTGAACTGCAGGCCTGAGGTTGGCAGCCCGCCTTAACCCAGTGTGCTAGCAGGGCTCCTTTCAGCAGGAAAGATGGGTTTACAACGGTATGATATGCGCAGAGGGAAGGCTGCATTTGAATGACCTATAAAACACACAGCTTGTGCCTTTATAAAATTCAGAGCTCACTCAGGGCAGTCCCATAGCCGATGAAACATATCCCTTAAGTCATGCACACCATAAAACTACAGAACAGCTATGCACTTAAAATACTTTACACCCAAGCTTTCAAGACAATACCCTGAACTAAATCTTAACCTTGATTACATTTAACTGGATGGGAAATTGTAAAAAGGGTAAAATACCAGCCAGTCTAATGAAAAGAGCCAAACCAAATACCAAACTCACTGCCATCAAGCCATCTTCTACTCCTATACCCCTGTCTAGAGGTGTGCTTCCCAAAGTGAGCAATACCACCCCCCATGGGGTGCTGGAATGATCCCCAAACCAAAAAACCAAACTCACGGCCATCGAGTCAATGCTGATTCATGGCAACCCCTGTGGGTTTCCGAGACTGTAATTGTTTACAGGAGTAGAAAGCACAGCCTTGCTGCTACCTTGGAGCTGCTGGTGGCTTCGAACTGCTGACCATGTGAATCGCAGCCCAACGCATAACCACTACACCACCAGGGCTCCTTGGAATGATCCAAGAGGGGTTATAAAAGCAGATGTTTATGCTTTATCCTGAATGATGGGCTAAAGAACAAACATTTTTAATGGCCACGGGGGCACTGAGCATTTTTTTCCCCCCTGAAAAGGGGACCGTAGGTCACTGGACTGGGACATCACGCTTGGTAAATTAGAGGAGCATCAAACAAGAGGAGGACCCTTGCCTAGACGGACAGACACAGTGATAGCAACAGTGGGCTCTAACATAAGAACAATCGTGAGGCCAGCACAGGACCAGACGATGTTTCATTCTGTCGGGCGTACGCTCACTAGATGACTGGATAGCACCTAACAACAAGGCCAGCTAAGGTTAGTATCCTAGGCGCTATAGGATTTCTGAGATGGTAAACTCTTATGGGAGCAGACAGGCTGATCTTTCTCCTGAAGAGCAGCCTGTGGATTTGAACCACCGACCTTGTGGTTAGTAGCCCAACATCTAACCCACTATGCTGCCAGGCTCCTTCACCACACAACTCTCTTCACTGACCCGTTTGTGAGGGCATTTGTTTGATTCCTTTGTGCTGGGGGTCTTGTCCCCTCCACCTGCCCAGAGTACTTCCTTTTCTTTAAATGTCTCTGACTTCTCTTTGTATTTGTTCTTTTTTCATTGTGATAAGTCTAAAGGTAAGGACATGCTTGCACGCTCTACCCCACTCGGTGCCCCATGACGTTTCACCTGCACTCATCCAGGGCCTGCAGGCAAGTACCTGTGGGATGCTCAACAGCAGGACTTCTTCAATCCCTTTCTTTGGGGAATTCTCCCAGGATGGCCTGCTGGGAGGTCTGAGTCGCCATCTCAGAAGACCCTGCCCGAGTCCGTGAACCCTGGACGTGCAGGCTGTGTGGCGGCTGCAGGGACCTACCTTGAGCTTTGGGCTTGGTCAGCTTGCCGCAGGGCTTGGAGACGGTGACGGTCTTCTGGCAGTCGGCGTTGTGCAGGGCTCGCTTCAGGCTGCCCGTTCTGGTCTTGAGGGCGGTGTTCAGGTCACATTCTCCCCAGGCTTGGAACTGGTACTTGCACTCCGCTGAGAGCCAAAAAGAAACCGCAGTGAGACCCTCCTGGAGGGACACGCTCCTTAAGCCACCGTTTCATCCTGCAAGCTTTAGTCTGGAACCCTTGTAGCTTCGCAGATGATGGTAAGAAGGCACACAACGAGACCCCCGATAGCTTGCCCCCAATTTCCCATCAGGCAATAGGGAAGAGGGTCAGAAACTCTGCCATGTCACCATGTCACCACGTCACTGTTATTGAGTCAATAACTGACTCACAGTGACCTTATAGGACAAGCTTGAACTGCTCCTGTGAGTTTGCAAGACAGTAACTCTTCATGGGATTAGAAAGCCTCCTATTTGTCCTGCAGAGTGGCTGATGGTTTCCAACTGCTGACCTTTCAGTTACGCAACGCATAACCACTATACTACCAGGGATTTCACCACTCTAGGCACAGAGATTTAACTAGTGTGACCAGAGTCCCAGGCTTGTGCAGCATTCAGAGGCAGCACGGTATGATTAAGAAGGACAGCAGGGTCTTTACCCCATACCAACCACATGGGGCTTAACCCCACCCTAATCAACTGGCAACCAGCAATCCATCCCTCATCCCTATAATTCTGTCCCTTGCGAACCGTTGGGAAGTCAACATTAATGGGTCCAAAAAGGAAGAAATTATTCCACAGCTGATTGGGGTGTTAGTTGCACAACCCT